CTGCCTCCTGCTTGCAGATCAGATATGAGCTCTCAGCTGCTGCTCCAGAGCCATGCCTTCCCACATGTCGAAGTCCCTGCCTTGACAGTCATGGACTCATTCACTGAGTCTATAAGTAAGTCCCCAATTAATTGCTTTCTGTTATAAGTTGCCTTGATCATGGTGTCTCCTCACAGCAACAGAACAGTAACCAAGACACTTGTCAAATCCTCAATCCACAATTCCTTACATATAACAAAACAGTCAAATCCTCAGTCCACAATTCCTCACACATAACAAAACAGCAGCTGCTTTACTCATCTGTTTTCACCGGCCAGGCAGGGTCCTGTGAGACCAAACAGAACCTGAGAAGCCGTGTTTCCTGAGCCTCTCTTCTGCTCTTTCCCTTCACCACAGGTGTGGTGGGTGAGTCTGCTCCAAAGACAAAGAAACAAATGGTGCAGAGTTACAGCCATCCATGAATAATAACAGCACAGGGCTTCGGCAGCAAATAAACTTAGAGCCACTGAGATCTGCAGTGTTTGGGGGTCTTGCTGTTGCCACACTTAGCAAAACCTAGAGGCTGGAAAGAAGGCTCATGAGCAAAGGGCACTTGCTGCTCTTGTAGAGAACTTGAGTTCAGTTCCCCAGCACCCATGTCAGGAGGCTATCAATTACCTGTAACTTCAGCTCCAGAGGATAAGATGCCCTCTTCTGGACATGAGCATACCTACACACAGACACACATTAGTAAAGGTAAAATAGATATTTTATTAGGGGCTAAAATAATATATTTGTTGATTAGCTTTTTGGGGGTTTTTTGTTTGTTTGCTTGCTTTGTTTGCTTTGTTTTGTTTTGTTCATCACTTTGATATGAACTAGGGTCATCTGGGAAGAGAGAAGCTTAACTGAGAAAATGTCTCTATCATGCTGGCCTACAGGCAAATCTGTGGGGTATTTTACTGGTTAATGATTGATGTAGAAGGGCCCATCCCACTGTGAGTCATAGCACCAGGTGGTCCTGGGAAGTCTAAGAACAGTCGATGAACATGAACCTGGAGAATAAGCTAGCAAGCAGTGGTCCTGCCTCTAAGTTCCTGCCCTGGCTTCCCTTGGTGATGGAGTATGACCTAAGAAGTCTAAGATGGAATGAACTCTTTCCTCCCCAGGTTGCTTTTAGTCATGGAGTTTATTGCATCAATAAAAGCAAACTAAGGCAATATACAGCACAGCTACTATTTCCCTCTTCTTTTGTTGCTTTTGGTAAAGCCCCATGATACAGTCTCAAAAACAAAACAGACATTCTCATGTCCAAGCTTCCTTGTAACTACCATGTTCTAGTTCTGTGCTGTCAATGACAGTCAAAGAAAAGGGGTACTTCTCAATGATCAAAGTAGAGAGGAACAGAAAAGGGTCTTAGTTGCCCTGGCCATGCAGTTAGATCACAGATTCCCCCAATGGCTCACACTTTGGAGTGGCTGCACTGATAGGCATTTGAAAAGATCATCAGAACTCTGACCTAATCAATGGATTAATCCACTGATAAATTGAAAGCTTAATGGACTTTTAGGAGGAACCTGGTTGGAGGAAATAGGCCACTGGAGTAATGCCCTTGAAGGGTGTTTATCACCCCCAGTGTCTTGCTGTCTGTCTGTTTCCCAGCCACTGTGAAGTAAGCAGCTTTGTTCCACCACCCACTTCCCACCATGATGCTCTGCCTACCATAGGCTCAAAGCCCAAAGCAACATGACCAGGTGGCCATGGATAGAAACCTCTGTTACTGTCAGCTCCGTACACCTTTCCTCCTTTTAACTGATTTTCTCAATCCTGCAACAAAAAACTGACTAGTCTACGCCTGTTCTCACTGTGCTGTGGTGGACAGTGACAGAAGCTATCAGGGACCAATGAGAATCAAAAGCTGACATACTGGCAGAAGGGAGGACGGAGCAGCTCCAGTCCTTAAAAATATGTTTTGAGTCACTCAATAACTTCAGGTGCGCCTATCATCAGAAACACCTTATAGTATGAGATAAGCGTCTTAACTCTTTAAGCCAGTGCTATTTGGTAAGTCTTGTATTTGTGGCAAAAAAATAACTCTTGTATGGTTCTCATCTGAGATCACCTAGCCAGTGTGCCATGGCCTTGTGACATGGCCTTGAAGAGTCAGCACACTCGTTGTGTTTATAAGTTCAAATAGGGTCAACTGCAGTCTGAAGAGAGCATATGACCATGTTTGGCCAATCAGGCTGTTCTAGTTACCATACTACCAATGAGGCTAGTTCTGGGAGTTTGGGCAGAACAAGTTGTGAAAGCAGGTGTTACATTCACAAGATTGTTGATTCAGAAGTGAAGCCAACACAAGATCTCAGAGCTAAGAAACCAGAAGGCTTACTTCTGAAGATATCCTCAAGGTTTTGGGACACTTCTCTGCCTGTGCCACCTTTGGACTTCCCTTTTAGTTTTCTAAACCAATAAATCTCTATTTTCATGGGCCAGTTATCAGCTGGAGGAATTCTAACTGATCCAGGCCAAAGTCCAACCATACAGATGGGAGTAAGGGCCTCGGCTGAGATATAGCAGGGCTGGAGAAGGCAACACAGCATTCCCGCAGAGCAGCTGCTGGTCACCGCCCTCTCCCACATAACAGAAGCAAAGGCGTGCTTGGGGACAGCTGCGCAAGCAGGTGAGGAAAGGGGCTCAGGTTCAAACACAGGCTTAATAGACTTAAACGGTGAATCTTGGTTGATGAGATTTGAATCACTATGGAAAACAAATCTCTGGGCATGTCTGTCAGTGGTTATCTTAGGTTAACTGAGGTGGGAAGACCCACCCTGAATGTTGGGCAGGGTTTCTGAACTGAATATAACAATAGAGAACAAGCTGAACACAAAATTCATCTCTTCCTCCTGCCTGACTGCAGGTGTAGTGTGGGCAGCTGCCTCAAGCCCCTCCACCATGATGGACTGCAGGTGCTGTGAGCCAGAGTAAACTCCTCTTTCCTCAAGTAGCTTTTTCAACAAGATAACTAATGCAGAATCTGAAATTCAATGTACTTTAACTAAATCATGATAATTTCCCAGTCTCTACTGTACTCTTAAGAATCAATGCAGGCCTGTAATCCAACACCAGGGACGTTGAAGCAGGAGGATTGAGAGTTTGGGGCTAATTTGGGCTACCAAGAGAAACCTGTTCTCAAAAAATCTTAAAAAGTAAGTAAGTGGGAGGGTCTCAGTAGGTGGGTAAAGGTGCTGAATGTGCACGGAGGAATCCCAACCACTGTAAGGGGTTGTGGGGGAAGGCCAGGTGTAGTCAAGACTGCCCATAGCCCAGCATTCATGAGGACAGAGACAGGAGACTCACTGAGGCTGCCAGTCCAGCTGCAGATGCAGTGAGAGACCTATCTCAAGAGAATAAGCAGAAAGTTCTCATGGTGTCTTCCTCTGGCCTGTACTCATATGTTTGTATAACACATGCACATGTGCATGCTTGTGCACATGTGCACACACACACACACACCAAATAAATAAGTAAATAAAATGGATCAAGGGTGTTCTATTAGTGTTCTTTGAATAGAACTTAGGAGAGCACTGAGCTTCCTTCTCTTTGAGAGTCAAGTTCAGAATGTAAGCTGTTCTCAGGGGTCAGAAAGAGTCCACAGAGTGTCTACACAGCACCACTGCCCTGGCTCTCCCGGACACGTTCTCCAGGATTCCTGCACACACTGCTTTGGATTCAGACTTCTAAGCAAAGAAGAGGGCTTTCCATAGGTTCTTCTAGACAATCCCAGAAGAGTCACAAAATCTCTCCGAAGCCCCAGGGAAATACCTGAGGTAGTTACAGGGCCCTTCTAATTTTCTTTGGTAAACCCCTCTCAAGTGATACTGGTTTTCATTTATAGGACAAGACATTTCCTTTAAAATTCAAATATATACATTTTAAGAGGCTTTGCCACAGAAAAGAATCAGCCAGTTTAAAGCAGAGTTGGAGTTTATTGGGAAGAGGCATTTTTAAGATGATCTACTTTACCTGTATGTGTGACAGCCTGTCTGTTTATATACACATCACATGCATACCTTGTACCTGTGGAAGATGCTCTAGAGCTAGAGTTATATAGCAGTTGTGAGCCTCTAGGTGGGTATTGGGAACTGAACCCAGAATCTCCACAAGAGCAGCAAGTGCTCGTAACCTCTGAGCCATTGTTCCAGTTCCCTTTGAAGGGTGTATCCAAGCATTGAGGAGTCGTTCAAGGTAAAGATAAGGCACATCCAGATGTGGGTGTGGGCTTCTTAAGAAAATCATGCTTAAATATCTTTATCACAGCCACTTTGGTGGCTTGAAAGTTACATCTTAAAAGATTTATAAGGCATTTAAATGAGATCATAGGGTGGCTCCCAAGTTACATGGGATACAAATGATCAGGTAAAACTTAAGACCCAGGAGTTACACAGGATGCTGGAATGTATTTACCATAAGCAAAGGTTTACAGTCTCCCTGGGAAAGAGAAAGACAGTAATGGAAGGTCACATAGGTTCAGGCCGTAAGCTTGTTTCACTACTATTTTTACTATTATTTATATTTATTTGTTTGTGACCTCTTCTCTGCATGCTCACAATATACATGCAGTACCTAGGAAGGTCAGAAGATAGCATTATATTCCCCAAAACTTGAGTAACAAACTGTTCTGAAACATCCAGTGTGGGTGCCTGGAACTGAACCTGGGTCCTCTGAAGGAACAGTGAGTACTCTTAACAACAGATCCATCTCTTTAGTCCCTGCTTTAACATTATTATTTGAAAGTGTGTGTGTGTGTGTGTGAATTCTTGACTTGGTTTATGGGAGACTTCAACCAGCCTCTTGTGTGACGGTCTGCTTTCCTTTCTCATGCCCCTTTAATTTTTTTTCTGTCTATTTTGCCTCAATGTGACCTTTATACTCTATTCTTCAGTCTGCTGATGTGTGAGCATCTTACCACAAATACAACAGAATTATTCTACAAGTCTTGAAGAAACTACACACACTAGGAAAGTATGTATGATTTATTATTTGCACATTGTCCTCCCTCCCACCATGTTTCTACTCTTCCAGGGAATCAGAGAAAAACCCATCCCAGAGGCCACATTTCTAGGTTCCCTCCACTTGCTCGACCAAGTGGTAAGGAGATGCATAATTTGTGTTGCCTGAGCAAAACCAACATAAACATACACGTGCATTTTCTGATATCATTACTTCATTTTCCTTAAAATAAATACCTCTCACTCTATCCTAACACTTCAAACCTTATATATGGGGCTTCAGAATTATTACATGACACAGGCATGACCAATTAGAATGTTTCATTCCCCTACAGAGGGAGAAAAGACTCCAGCTGTGTGGATGATGATACTTGGTTGGTGTACTTAAAAAAGAAGTCTCTTCCCCCTCGATTAGTGGGCTAGGACGATATGATCTGGTGTGCTGGTGGCCCGTTCCACCAAAGGAAAGAGTTAAGCCAATTCAAGAGGGCAGCTGAGCTGAGCTGAGAAACTCAGGTGACAAAACTCAATCCTGATTACATCAATTTTGTCCTTGGATCCCGATTACCAAAAGGCAACTACTTCTGGGCTGTCTAATTACATGAGCCCAAGTAATTTTTTTTTCACTTTTTTAACTCATGTCACTTTGGGCGGGATTTTCAGTCACTTGCAACCAAAAGATTGGCTGATTCACAAATCTGCTCCCAAATGAGATCAGCACACACCCCTCCAACTCCCTTTCCCAGTCCTCAATAGAGTTGTGAAGTAAGAATATATCTTATAGGGATCCTGCCTCCAAGGGACCCGAGGATAAATCCCAAGTCTATGGAGGGTTGCATGAGTCAAAGGCATAGGGGTCACTTCAGGATCCGGATGCTCATTTTTTGTTCGATGTTCATCTTCTCTAAGGACTGAGGAGAGATGGGTGTAATCAAGTCAAGAGGCTTGAATCTCAACCCTATGCACCTCACCTCCTCCCCTGGAGTCCTAGCATCTCCCAATCAATATGCCCCAGGTCTCTCCCATCCTCCAGTGAACTTTATCTCCCATGACCTTCTGTCCTAGGGGCTCCTGATCCCCACTCCTAACCTTGGTGAATTCCATGAAGGACACTGCCCCATCACCATCTTCATCAGCTTCCTGCACTGTGCGGTCTGTGATGCTCTCCAACTGCTCATCCGTCACCTGAACCCCAACCATCAGCCGGAGAACCTGGGAGGTGGGAGATGAGGTGGTCATAAAGAAAGGCTGTAGAGACTGCTCCTCCAGCCCAAACTATGACCACACACACCACCACCACACCATTTAGCCATCCTGCCCTGCCCACATCTGATGCACCCTGTGGTTTTCTAACCTGTAGCATTTCATTCCTGGAGATCTTCCCATCACGATCCAGATCATAGAGCTGAAATGCAACTGGGAAAGGAGCAGGGAAGAGGAAGGTGAGACTCCCTGAGTTAACATTAATTCCTCATCGGGCTCACAAGGGGAGTGAGAGGTTCCTGGGCCTCTCCCTGGTGTGGGTAAATCTTGGGGTCTCACTTGAACAGGTCTTATACACACACTCACAGCGCAACTTGTTCATTCTGCTGTTTAGGGGTTCAGGTTGCTTGGGGTCTCGGATTGTTGCATCCTCCTCATCTACAGGTCGAAAATGAGCCAGAACCCTGGCAAAGCCTGCGAAATCCACTCTCTGACTTCTATGGGTGCAGGAATGGAGAATGACAATGGTCACCTAGACTGCCATCATCTGTAGCCTCCCTCCCACCCATGTCCATCTCCCCTCCTCCAGCCTGCCAAGATTCACCCGTTGGGGAAGAAGCTGTCTATAATGCGGTCCCCCAGAGGGTTCACAGCCAGCGCCCCGATCTGCTGGAGGTCTAGGCGGCTGTGAAGACAAAGCAATGAGGCAAAGGAGGCAGATAGAGGTGTCAGAGAGGGGGGGGAGTGGGACCAGAAAACCAGTGGCAAAGGGGCTTTAGATCTCTGCTCACCTCAAGAAGCCCTTTTCCTCCCTGTCCAGGGCTTGGAACCGGTGGTAGAGGCGGAGCAGGCTGGCTTGTGAGACTGTGGAAGAGAAGGAGTTGGGATGAGACAGCAGAGGACTCGCAACACTTAATCGCCAGATCCTGCGTACATCCGGGTGCGCTGAAGAAACCCCAGCTCCGGGGACATGGGCCGGGAACTAAGAGGGCTTATTCTCATCTGCAACCTCCCTTCCACCCACCAACTTTGTATAACAGGGTCTTCCACCTCCCCACCCTCAGCGAGGCTTCAATCATAAGGAAGAGACTAACGGGTGGGGATGCAGGGAGGGAGAGTCGTTACCCCCACCCCAGGCCCAGGTGGGGAGTCAACCCGGCTGGAGGGAGCTTGACTCAAGGAAACACTATGTTGGAAATCCAAGAGGTTCCCAGATCCCTAGTTCTCACTGAAGTCAACCCCTCTGCATCTCTTGTCATGCTCTGCTTGCATCCTCCATCGGAGCTCCAGGATGCCTAAGCGAATCTGAGCCTTCAACCCCGGCCGCCTCAAACTTGGCTCTCAAAGAAAGACTAAAATTCCTGCCATCCGGATGCCAGGATCTCGGTTTCCCAGCTCCAGGAGCGCGGGTTCCCGGACTCAGGCTCCAAGCCCTCTTAAGTCTTTGCAATCTGGGATACTCAAGCTCCGTTCTGGGAACCCTCTACACTACACTAAACCTCCTGTGCCCTCCTGCAGACTACTGGACTTCCCCCACCCCCGCACACTCACAGCCGGTCTCTCTGCGAATGTGGTCCACGTCGGGAATGAGCGCAGCGTGGGAACTGCGCGAGCCCATAGCGGAGCCTCCGGTAGAGGCTAGCAGCCAGGGGAATGAGGAGTCCTCTCCTCCCGTCGAGGAGGCGCGGCCGCCCAGTGGCCCCAGGGCCGAAGGTCACAGAGCTGGCAAGCAGCCAGAACCCAGGCGTTCCTCGCCTGCCACCTACGACCTTGGAGAACAGAAAACAATGCCCGGGGTAGCAGGTCAGAGAGGGAGGCTGAGAACAACCGGTCGTTTCAGCCCGGAGATTGAGGTCGCCAGAGGCTGGCCACGCCAGGGCCCCGCCTTCCTCACTCCCAACCCTCCCTAGACACAAACCCAACTCCTCTACCGGACCTCCCAGATCCTCTCAGCCAGCAGTGCTCAGTTCTTGTCCTGCTGGGTGGGATGAAGACATTCTTCTGGGGACCCGAAAAGGGGGCAGGGAGAGGGGGATGGCTCCCTGGGCAGGGGGTGGGGGGATGGGGATATCCTGTCTCCATTGAGACAGTTTATACAAGGATCCTAACTACTGTCTTTCTACACAAGCCCAACATCTTGCTTGGGTCTACGGTGTTTTCTTCTGTTTACATAGGGTTATTGTGTGGCTGAGCCAATTCTTAAGATCCACGAAAGCCATGTGACACCAGCGCTTAGGAAGTTGAGGCAGGGAACTAGGCATAAGTTCGTGGCTACTCTGAATTACATGAGTTCTAAGTCAGCCTGGGTTTCATTGTTTGACCTTGTCTCAAACAAATGTGCAAGATTTATCCTAAATCCAGATTCCTGGATTCTCTCAGAAATCAGGAGTTCTGGGACTCATTGTGTAGCTAGTGGGACAACAATTGCCCTGGGTTTGACTGGGTTTGACCTACTGCAGTGGGCTGGGGAAATTCCTACAAGTTTTGATATCTCTAGCTGGAGGCTACTTGTCACAGTGCCCATACAGTTCATGTCTTCTCCCGATGTGCCCTGCGGGCCCCAGTAGAATGACAGGTGTGTAGTGACTGCTGACCAGTGCCCAGCACCAGCAAGTTGAAATCGTGACTTGGCTTAAAATATTAAAGACAGTAACAAGGCCTCTGGTTTATCAGGGTGCAGGGTGCACCCAGGACTTGCTGTGCACTGTGTGTGCCCTCTCTGGACTTCTCACTTGCATGTGCTTTTTGAACATACAGCGCCCTACTTATTTCCTATGCCTATAAGGGAACACCACAGCTGAGCCATTTAGAAAGAAAAATGTTTAGGGCTGAAGAGATGGCTCATCGGTTTATAATACCTGCTCTTTCAAAGGACCTACCAATGTTTGATTCCCAGCACCCACATGATGGTTTACAACTGTCTGTAGTCACCAAGGACCCAATGCCTTCTTCTTACCTTAGGGTCCCAGGCATGCTTGTGGTACACAGACATGCATGCAGGCTAAACACCCATACACATAGAAATAAGCTTTAAAAAAAAAAGGCAAAAATTTAGGTGTGTTGTGGTATGGTATCACACACCTTTAATTCTAGCAGAGGGAAGCAGACACATGTAGATCTCTGTGAGTTCAAAGGCAGACTGTTCTATACAACAAGTTTGAAGCCAACCATGTCTACACAGTGAGACCCTGTCACAAAGACTAATTAATTAATTAGTGTAAAGTGGTACATACCTATAGTCCCAGCAATTGGGAGGCTGAGTGGGGCAAGGGAGCTATCCAGAGCTAACCTGTGCTACATAATGAATTCTGGACTAGCCTGGGCAAAAGAGCACACTCCTGACTCAAAAAGTTAAGAAGAAGAAGAAGAAGAAGAAGAAGAAGAAGAAGAAGAAGAAGAAGAAGAAGAAGAAGAAGAAGCAAAGTCAAAGAGGCCGTTCAGCTCTGGACTGGGAAGGTCAGGATCAGACAGCTCTGTCTGGAGTGTCCTTGATGGTAAGGTCTCTGCAGTCCTACACAGTTCAGGGTATCACATGACAAGACTAACAGAACATCCCAGTTCAATGCTCCTTTGTTCTTCTCACAAGCCACAGACCCAGCCTAGACTGATGTGGCAGGCCTGTCATTCCAGCCACTCAGGAGGCTGAGGCAAGAGGATCACAAGTCCAAGGCCTGCCTATGCTATAGAGTGGGTTCAAGGCCAAGCTGGGCAACTTAAATACTGTTTCAAGATTTAAATGTAACAGACTGGAGTGGTTGCTCAGTGGGTAAGAGTACTTGCTGTGCAAGAGTGAAGACCTGAGTTCATATATCCAGCATTCACAAAACACTGCTGAGCATGGCCACATGTGCATGTAACACCCATTCGTGAGTGCAAACACCACACACACACACACACACACACACACATTTTTTAAAATTATCTTTTGTAAAATAAGCAGAGTGAAGGGTGGTGCTCTAGGCTAAAAGAGTGTGTGGCCTTAAGTTCAGTCCTCGATACTGCAAAAATAGCTATCTAGTTTTGAAACTACCCTACTGTCACCACATTTGTATAGATGTACATTTTCATGTGGAGGGTGCAAGAATTTCATTACAAGGATTCAAGTTCATATCCATTTGGGAGAGAGAAGCAGTCTAATAGTCTCCAGCCTGAGCCAAGGCTTAACTCCAAAGAGACTTGAAAATATAGATCTAAAAAGTGATTGCTTCTCTTACAGACTAAGTAACTGACAAAAGAGACACTTGATTCCCTTTCAGATGCCCCCCAAGGACTAAAGAAGGTAGAAAGCCAACCTCCTCCCCCACAACGCTCAACAACTCTCCAGGCCAGAGCTGGGAGTCAGGCTGAACCCAGGAAGCAGTGAGCCCCTGATCGTATACAGAAGTCACCTCCAGCCAGGGTGAGAAAGGGGTCTTCCAGCTTTGCCCTCTAAGTCAGCGCTGGACACATGTGAGTCATTCTAGTGCTATGATCAACCCATAAATCCACCAAGCATCAGGGAACCCTGTGCCAGGAGACATTCCTGCTTCATGCAAACAAATGGGGTTTATACCAATTCCACAATGCACATGCCAACTTTTGTTTGGTTATTTAGGGAGTACTTCTGCTGAAGAACCCATTAAACTTGCCTGTGTGTGTGTGTGTGTGTGTGTGTGTGATTGGGTTCTACATCCTTGGCTGAATCTTTTTTTTTTTTTTTTTTTCTTTAAGCTCCATAAAAGTTGCTACGCTACTTCAGCAGGTGAGATGGCTCAACAGGTAAAAGCACTTGCTACCAAACCTAACAACATTCATTTGATCACCAAGAGCTATGTGGTGGGAAGAAAAAACTGGCCCCTGGAAGTATTCCTCTGACATCTGCATGTATGCTCTGCCCTGACACATACACATACATTAAGTTTTAATTTTTTTTTTTTACCATGCCTGATGATGTTCCAGTTAGAAAAACAAATGTTCACAGGGCGGCAGTGGCACAAGTTTTTAATCCCAGCACTTGGGAGGCAGAGGCAGGCAGATCTCAGTGAGTTCAAGTTCCAAGACTGGCTCCAAAGCAAAAAACATAAAGCTCTTACCATTCAGCGAATGTGCCAACTAAAAACTGAACAGATGGGCAGTGGAAGCACATGCTTTAATCCCAGCACTCAGGAGGCAGAAGCAGGCAGATCTCTGAGTTCAAGGCCAGGCTTGTCTACAAGAGCAAGTTCATGGACAGCCACCATTACACAGAGAACCCCCGCCTCAAAAAAATCCATAATAATAATAAGAATAATAAGAATAAATGGACAGAGGGCTGGGATAGGAATTTCTTCAAAGAAGATGTATAAATGTCCAGATAAATTCAGAAAAAGATTTTTCAGCATCACTGGCCATCAGGGGATGAAGAATCAATCCACAGTGAGATATCACTTCTCACTCGCTGGAATTACTAACTAAGACCAACAAAAACAAAAGAAACTTGCAAGTCTTAGTGAGGAGCTGGAGAATCAGACCCCATGGAAAATAAAATGGACAAGTTTGAGATTTCTCAGTAAGTAAAAGCTGTCAAGTGATAAATAATCCTCTCCTAGGTTTATACCCAAAAGAATTGAAAAATGGGTGTTCACTACTCAGTAGGCACAACAGCAAGTAGAGCCACCATGTGACCCAGCTCTATGCCTCCTGGGTATTTTTGCCTGGCGGATTCTTGAATCAGCTAATCACAGAGATGCTTACACATTCATATTTATTGGTGCTCTGTTCACAAAAGTCAATATGGGAGCCAGCTTAGGTGTCCATCAATACATGAGGATGAAGGAAATGTGGTGTATCTGTGTACAATGGAATTTTATTCAACCATGAGACAAATGATATCATGACATTTGCAGAAAAGTGGGTGGAATTGGAAATCATTATGTTCAATAAGATAAGCCAAGATCAGACAGACAAATACTGCATGTTTATTACATGTATTACTTATTTAGTATGGGGATTTTGTGTGTGCACATGACATTGATATTGCATGCATATGAAGGTCGGAGAATAATTTGGAGCAAGCTGTGAGATTCAAACCAGTAAGCAGAATTCCTCCATGGTCTCTGCTTCCACAGAGCCTTAACAGTTCTGCCATCTCCCATCAGTACCACAGTTTGCAAGAAAGTCTTTAACACATGTGTTCCAAACAGCATTAGACCAGGCTGGCCTGGAACTCACAGAGATCCACTTACCCTCTATGTCCCTGAGAGCTGAGATTAAAGGCAAATGCTGCCGACTTAAATTTATTTTTATATGTGTGTATGTATGTGCAGCACACGTGTACCAATGCCTGCAAGAGGTCATAAGAGGATGATGGATCCCCCTGGAACAGGCAGTAGAAACCTACACAATGGGAGTGCAAAGTCCCACTATGTAGCCCAGATGTCCTGGAGCTTGCTATGTAGACCAGGCTGGCCTGGAACTCGCAGAGATCTGTCAGCCGCTGCCTCCTGAGTGCCCTGATTGAAGGCATGAGCCACTGAAATGGAAGGTGGCCTCTTTTATAAGGACACCAAAGGTCACCTGATGGAGACAGTGCTACTGAGAGGACACAGAGCCTTTGGAAGGTGGGGCCTAGGGATGTAGCTCATTGACTGGGAGGGGCATCAAGATGTCAAGCCTGTCTGTCTTTCAGTTCCCCACCATAATGATGTGAAAAGTTTTGATCTGCCACATGCTCCCAACCCTGAAGTAATGCCTTGCCGCAAACCTATGGACTGCAACCTCACAGACCATCAGCCAAAATAGACTTTTCCTGTTTTAACTTGGTTCATCTCAGTTGTTTTATCGCAGTGATGGAAATCTAATACTAATCATAGGCACAGATGGTTTGG